AATTAATTATACATTATACATACTAATTATACATACTAATACTACTATGTATAAAATAGGTAAACAACAAGGTCCCACTGTATAGCACAGGAAACTATACTCAACATCTGGTGATAATCTATAATGGAAAAGGATCTGAAGAAGGTTATATATATATATATATATATTTAAAGAGGATAATATTCCATTCCAGGCCAAGTTGAATTTGAAATGCTTATGGCACATCTAAGTGGTAATGTTCATGACATTTAGATACTTAGCTAGAGAAGTCAGAAAAAGAGTAAAGCAGTGGTATATATATGCATCAAATTTTTAAATTCCAATAAAATAACACTACTTACTACAAAAGCAATATCAATGAAGTATAGAATACTTAATAATACAGCTAAGCAAAAGAGAATTAAAAATACACAGACATATTCATACAATCCCAGCATCCAGATACAGTTTGTAGTAAAAAAATACATATGTATACAATTGATATACATATGAACATATGCACTTAACAGGATTATACTGCATATGCTGTGTGGTAACAGGCTTTGTTTACTTAATAGCACATCATAAATATCTTTCTATTTAATATTCACCTACTTTTATGATTTTTTTTATACTATTATAAATAGTTCTGAGACAAACTGTCTTCACAGTAAAATTTTGGCCCATAACCTTAATTATTTCACTAGGATAAATCCCTACTTGTGGAATCGCTGGCTAAATATTGTTTTAAGGCTTTTGACAGGTGTTCCCAAATCATTTTCTGGAGAGGCTGAGGCAATTCATAACCTCATCAGCATATATGCAAATACTCATCTCCCTACACTTTCTCCAAAACTGAAATTATAAACATAATCACTCAAATATTTGACAATTTTATAAAATAAAAATGTTAACCTGTTATTTTCATTTTACATTTAATTTCTAAAACCTGAGATGCTTATGTTTATCAGCAATTTGGATTTTTTCTTTGGCAAACTGCTGATTCTTATCCTTTGCCCCTTTTCTTTTAAAACATTTATTGATTTGTAAGAGCTCTTTACATATTAACTTTAACCTTTCTTCATTAATGCCACATTTTATTCTTAGTTGCATTTGCCAACTAAGGGTACATTTTGATAAACAGATATTTTAAATTGCTGGAATGGTCAAGGTTTGAAATGGCGAAGAATGGGAAGAATGTGAAGAATGGGAACAAGATGTATCCAAAAGCAAAGAGAAAGAATGATGCAATATTAGGCTCAGCAAAGGCTGGATTCTATGAATTTCTAATTGTTTCAATCTTCAAAGTTTTAACAGTGTTTGGTTTCTTGAGTGCAGAGAAAGAAAAGGGAGAAAGAAGGATACACTTAAGAGTTGGAATTTTGGACTCTGGGAGAAGGAGAGGGTGGGATGTTTCAGGAGAACAGCATTGAAACATGTATATTATCTAGGGTGAAACAGATCACCAGCCCAGTTGGGTGCATGAGACAAGTGCTCGGGCCTGGTGCACTGGGAAGACCCAGAGGGATCGGGTGGAGAGGGAGGTGGGAGGGGGGACTGGGATGGGGAATGCATGTAAATCCATGGCTAATTCATATCAATGTGTAACAAAAACTACTGTAATGATGTAAAGTAATTAGCCTCCAACTAATAAAAATTAAAAAAAAAAAAAAAGAGTTGGAATTTTGCCTGTTGGTTTAGTCAGAAAGGAGACACAGGACTAAGGGAGTGAGTGAAGTTGTTCAGTCGTGTCCGACTCTTTGTGACCCCATGGACTGTAGCCTACTGGCTCCTCGGTCCATGGAATTCTCCAGGCAAGAACACTGGAGTGGGTTGCCATTTCCTTCTCCAGGGTATCTTCCCGTCCCAGGGATCAAACCCAGGTCTCCTGTATTGCAGGCAGACGCTTTACCATCTGAGCTACCAGGGAAGCCCCCGGGAATAAGGGAATTATGTGTATTAGCAAGGTGTTGCTGAAATGATGGACCACATGAATGAGGCAATTGATAAGCTGGGAGAAACTAGGAGAGGTTAGGGGATATTATATTCACCTTTGAGAAATGAAATATTTCCTGCCATAAAGCACTAAATTTTTTAACTTGGAATATCTGGTTTTCTTTAATTAAAAATCATCTTCTGATGTTAAGACTACCTGCCCCTTGTTGCAAAACTTCTATATAACTTGGCTTCTCCCTCACCTTCTGGGAGCAGTTCTCTCAGGGTCACTTGAAATGCTGTCTTCCAGGCTTGAAATCCCCCAAATTTCCACTGAATAAAATATTACTCTCAATTTTTATTAATAGGTTGTGAATATTTTTTAAGTCAACACTTTCATATTTTAAATATTTTAATTCATTTCCTTTATAGTCAGGCAGTGTTCTAAATCACACTTGGAATGAATTTTTAGTCACCAAATCAACTTACTAATTCTAATGCATTTTATTTTAGCTACTCTACTTTCCATTTCCTTGCATTCTCTTTTTATCTCAGCCCATACTTAAAAGAAAAATTATTTTCCTGTACCCTAAAGTGAAGTCGCTCAGTAGTGTCTGACTCTTTGCGACCCCATGGACTGTAGCCTACCAGACTCCTCTGTTCATGGGATTTTCCAGGCAAGGGTACTGGAGTGGGTTGCCATTTCCTTCTCCAGGGGATCTTCCTGACCCAGGAATCGAACCTGGGTCTCCCGCATTGTGGGCAGCTGCTTTACCCTCTAAGCCACCAGGGAAGTCCTCCTGTACCCTAAGCAATATTTAATTCCAGCATATGGAGTGGGAAGAAAAAAGTTTGAAGGAGGAAGAAAAATGGCCACGTACCCTTTCACCTTAAGATCATAAGACACATGGTAAACACCAGGGCATTCAGTGAGTTACCACATTCAATGATCACAACTCAGGGTTATGCTGGCCAAAATGGAAATCTGCCAGGTACTTCCTGTGCTGAGAACAGTTTCAAAGTCCAATAGCCTGTTTGTTCTCACCAAAGATATTTTCTTACAACAGCTTATTTGCAAGGGTCATCTGAGACCTTGAAAACTTCAGACCCTCCCTGCCAGACCCTACTTCATTTTGGGGGTCTTCACTATAGAGCTGAGGAGACCATCATTCAGTTGCTTGTGAAAACATGATACCATAGTTTCATCTCTTTTCCAGCTCCAGTGTCCTTTCTCCCCAGAATAGCCTAGAAGAAAGAGCAGAACTGAGATCCCTTTGATGTGTGAGTACCCAGGTAAGGAGGCTCCTGGCACTAGAACTTCCTTTTGATACTGAGCAGGGTCCTGTGGGTCTCCTGGGCACAAAGCCTTTCTATGTCTCCCATTTCTTTGATTACAGAAAATAGCCTTCATTCAGCCTCCATGACCTTTGCTGAGTTCCAACGGGTAGATTCTAGCAGTTGTTAATTAGGGAAGGGAGAGGATGCAAGACCAGGGAGAAACAGTCAAGAGAAACAAGTTATTCAGCCTTGGGGCACGGTCCTGGTTCCCCATCAACAGATACATACAATATCTTTGAGCTGTTTTTCAGATACTGGAACCCCCCTCAGAGTGGGATAAATTAACAGTTAATAATGGTATGCTGACCACAAGTATGTAGACCCAGACCAGTTGGAACCTGAAAGTTTATGATGCTGACTCGTACTTACCATCAACCTATCAGAAGAATGCCCATGAGCTGATCATGCCCTCTTTGAACAATTACTATAAACTTTCTATCTTCTCCAAGTGGGGACACATAGTTTTTTGAGGCAGGAGTCCACTGTGTCCCCCTTTGCCTGGCAAAGTAACAAAGCTATCCATTCCTACTTCATCCAAAACTCTCTGAGATTCGATCTGGCACCAGTTTATAGAGAAGCTGAGCTTTCAGCATCACTTTGGGAGGTGAGGAGCTGACTGATGACCTGAGCCTTTGCTGATCTGAGAAGGGAGAACCCTGGACTCTAAACATGTGAAGATGACATGCTGCATCTTGCCAACCACTAAGGAGCCAGCCAAGCTCCTGAGAAGTCTTCCATTCTAAAATCAGATTGCATGTCATCCAAGATGCTCTCTCAGCGAGAAGCTGTGAACTTTCTTTATCCTCAGTCCTGGCTCAGATTTGACATTGTAAACAGAAAAGTCAGGTTTTGTATCTGAACTCTGAGGTCATCACATGTCAACCCTGACTAGAGAACTAGAAAGTAAAACCAGGCTCTCAAAGGAAATCTACTTAGAACCTCAGTCCCTTCCTTCTTATACAATAGAGACATGAGATAAAGAAAAGTCAACTACCAAAGCTTAAAAACTCACTCAAGCAGCAGAAAATCAGTTTGGTCATTCAAACTACTGAGCATTTTCATGTATTTTTAAAAATTTTCAGCTTTATTAGGTATATTTTCATGTATTTTTATTTATTTATTTTTCCATTTATTTTTATTTATTTTCATGTATTTTTAAATGATTCCTTTTACATGTACAGCACCTGTTCTCAAGAAATGACCTTGAGAAAGTCAGCCATCTTCCTAAAAGAAAAGAACTTGGAATCAAGGAAGAGGCAAATATTAGACTCTCCCCGACTCACATACTTTTTGTTTCCATGTCTCCCAGAGAGTTATCAAACTTCTCCACATAGCCCCCCAAACACAGACACCACCCTCCCCCCCCACACACACACCCTAAGCAGGGTTGAGAACCACTGCTTAGAAAAAATCAGGATGAGGATACTCTATTCTGGCCTTTCATATTAGAGTTACATGCTTAATGACAGAAGCCAAAGCAGCCCCAAGGCCACTTCACTCACTCACTTGAGCCCAAAAGGAAACCAAACATTATATAAAGCTCTTAGAACTCCTCCCATTTGCCAAATTAGAGAAAACTTAACTTTCAAACCAGAAGATTTTCCATTCCAAACTCAGTAACACAGAGCCCCTCTGTTAAGTCTGCATACCATTTTTCTCCTGAGTAAAAGGCCAGAGTTCGCCACTCAGGAAATGACTCTGCCCAGCCCAAGGCCTCAGACCTGGCCCAGCTCAGCCTGGACAACTACCTGAGACAAAGGAATAGGCGGCGAGGATATTGCTGAGCAAAGCCATGTCCATGCGCTCGGGGATCACCAGTTCCGTGTTGTGGCAGAAGGGCAGCCTCGATGTGACATCCAGAGAAGGCCTCCTGGAGATGCTTTAGCTGGATCAAGGTGGCCACCCTCCCTCTCTTCTCTTCTGTTTGGGAACACAAAGTGAGTGATGAGAACACGTTCTGATTTCCTGAAGCTGGGTTCCAGGTAGCCTGGACTCAAGAGCAAGTCAGTCCAATTTCCCAGGCAGGGGGCTGCAAAGACCTGAGGTCTTATTCACTTTGCTATAACAGCTTCTTGGCTTTCAAAGAAGCAGTAACTCCTTAAATCATTTTTTCCTGGCCTTTCTCCTTTCTCTTCCCGGCATGCATGCATGCTAAATCACTTTAGTCATGTCCGACTCTTTGCGACCTATGGACTATAGCCTACCAGGGTCCTCTATTCATGGGATCCTCCAGGCAAAAGTACTGGAGTGGATTGCCATGCCCTCCTCCAGGGGATCTTCCTGACCCAGGGATCGAACCCATGTTTCCTGCATTGGCAGGTGGGTTCTTTTCTGCTAGCACCACCTGAGAAGCCCTTCTCTTTCCCCATCTCTTTCCAGTTTCCCATTTTAACACTTCTCCCTCATCTTTCTGTGATATGTTTCATTTCATTCTCGCTGGTTTGTCTATGAGGTGCAGTCCATCGTCATTTTAGTCACTGCATTTTAACCCCAAGCCACAGCCTGCTCTTCACTGGGCTCTGCTTTCGCCTGTATTGTTGGCACTTGGGTACTTTGATCAGTTTGCCTCATCCCACATATCACCAGATGTGGATTCTTGGAAATGGGTCAGAGCTGGCTATTTTAGAACTGCTAAAGTGGTTCCAGTTCTAAAATGCCCCTAAGAAGTTGGGAGCTCAAGCATGCTCCCTGCACCTAGCTCCATGACTGCACTGTGACAGTGGTGGGCCAACCAAACACACAGGCAGTGCTATGAACTACCCATCAAAGGAACTGGATCACTAAATAAGAACTTGGGATCTCAGTATTCAGTGGCTCAGCCTCTGGCTGGGAGAACACATTCTTTCCCCAGCTGCTGCTGTTGCTTAGGCCCGGCATTATCATTACCAAATTGATTCAATGAAGTCCTGGCAGATAGCTGAGGATTTCAAGTGGCAAAGATTTTAATGATTCCTATTCAATGCCACTCTCCAGCTGAAAACAGGAAACTGAGTCACAGGGTATGGAGGGATGTCAGGTTGGGGAAAGTAGTGAAGTGAAATGAAAGTCACTCAGTCGTGTCTGCCTCTTTGCAACCCCACAGACTATACAGTCCATGGAATTCTCCAGGTCAGAATACTGGAGTGGGTAACCTTTCTCTTCTCCAGGGGATCTTCCCAACCCAGGGATTGAACCCAGGTCTCCTGCATTGCAGGCAGATTCTTTACCAGCTGAGCCACCAGGGAAGCCCTGGGGAGAGTAAGAGAAGCAGAAAGCTCCAGTCCTTGCAGAAGAAACAGGTTCTCAGATGGGTCACAGACATTGGTAACATGGATCACATTTAGAGGGCTGGGAGAACCACAGTTCCATAGGTGGATGGAATAGGTCACAACAGATAAGGCAACTCTCACTTTGATGAATTCCAATGGGCTTATGGAAGACTAAAGCAAAGAAAGACAGGCCAACCCGCAGGTAAGACAGAAACCAATGTAAGGTCCTTGGAGCAGCCAGAGGCCTAGAGAGAAGCAGGATGAGGAGTGGGAGCTAGGGGGCTCTGAGAGGGGGCTAGATACTGCTTAGGGACCCCTGTATCTCTGAGCCCTCAACGCCATTTGAGTTCCTAAATGGTGACAACTAGATGATGTAGGTGAAGGCTTGGAACCACCATACTAAGTTCAGAGACTGAACTCTAAACTGAAGGTCTGAGGACTTCAGGACCTAGGAAGAAAGTGAGGTCAATGGAAAATGGAGTATGTAGTGGGACAAAGCTGTTTCAGGTCCATTCCCTCATTTGTATCCCCATCAAGATTTACTATAGTGCAAATCTCATTTCATTTCTGTAAGTTTTCTAATAGTCTCCTAACTGATGCTTCTGCCAGTAACTCTTCCTATTCAACCTAGCACCCACTCTCACCAACAAGATTATAAAGTACAAATCTGATCACTTCACTCCATAGTCCAACCCTTCAACTAATCCTCATTAAACTTCTTAACAACACATACCTACTTTCACAATATATGAACTGTATTTTAGCTCCTAATTCATCTCCTAATCAAGTCTACACTCTTACACATATACACAGAGATAGAAATATGCCTAAAACTTCAAAAATACTAAATTACTTTCAATTCCCCAAATATACTAAGCTCTTTTATCTTTTCATGCTTTTTGTTATACCCTTCCTTTTGTCTAAAAGCCCCTCCTCCTTTTATCTGTCTGACTAATGTTTCTTTTAAGAAATAATTCAAAAGTTCTATGACAGTCTCAAAATCTCAAAGACTTCCCTTTTTAAGAAATAGAAAATCTGAAAAAAAAAAAAAAGAAATAGAAAAATCCATACTAAAATTCATATGGAATATCAAGCAATCCAAATAACCAAAGCAGCCTTAAACAAACAAAAAAAGCAGGAAGTCTCACCCTTCCTGATTTCAAAACATATTACAAAGCTACAGTAACCCAGACAATATAGTACTTGCATGAAGACAGACATATACATAAATGGAATAAAATAGAGAGCCAAGAAATAAAACCTTATATATATGGTTACATTATTTTCAACAAAGGAGCCAAGACCATACAACTTGGAAAGAATAGTCTTGTTGAGAAAACTGGATATCCACCTGTGAAAGAATGAAGTTGAACCCTTACTTTACACCATACTAAAAGATTTAACTAAAAATGGATAAAAGACCTAAATGGAAGAGCTAAAATTATAAAGCTCCTAGAAGAAAACATAGAGGAAAAGTTCCATGACACAGAATTCGGCAATGATTTCTTGAACTTTATATCAAAAGCACAGGCAACAAAATAAAAGTAGATAAGCTGGACTACATCAAGACTTAAAACTTCTGTGCATCAAAGGATACAATCAACAGAGTGAAAGGCAATCCATGGAATGGAGAAAATATTTGCAAATCATATATCTGATGAGGGGTTAATATCTAGATTATATACAGAACTCCTACAACTCAACAACAACAACAAAAAACAAACAATCTGATTTAAAAATGTGCTAAGAACTTGAATACCCCTTTCTCTAAAGAAGATTTATGAATGACCAATAAGCACATGAAAAGATGCTCAACATTACTAAGGAAATGCAAATCAAAACACAGTGAGATACCTCCCCACATCCATTAGGATGGCTACTATAAAAAAAAAAAAAGAACAGAAAGGATCAAGTATTTGAGGGGATTTGAGAGGAACACTTGTACTCTTGGTGGGAAGGTAAAATTGTGGAGGCACTATGGAAAATAGTATGGCAGTTTCTAAAAAAAAAAAAAATTAAAAATATGATTCAGTAATTCATCTCTGGGTCTACAACCAAAAGAATTGAAAACAGGGGCTCAGATATTTGTTTATCAATTATGAAGTAGTATTACAGCAGCCTAAAGATAAATCAATCAAAGTGTCTATCCTCAGACAAATGGATAAGCAAAATGTGGTATATGCATACAAAGAAATATTACTTACAGCCTTCAAAAGGAATGAAATTCTGACACATGCAACAACATGGATGAATCTTGAGGACGTTGTGTTAAATGAAATAATCCAGTCACAAAAGAACAAATATAGTATGATTCCACTTATATGAAGTATCTAAAGTAGTTGAATTCATAGAGATAGAAGGAAGAATGGTGACTTTTAGGGGTGGGGAGAAGGCAGGAATGGGAAATTACTGTTTAATGGATACAGAGTACAAAGATTCAATTTTGCAAGATGAAAAGTGTTCTGGACATGGATAGTGATAATGGCTGCAAAACAAAGTAAATGTACTTGATGCCATTGAGTTGTGCATTTAAAAATGACTAAAATAGGAAATTTTCACAATTTTTAAATTAATAATAATATAAGCTGTTGATGAGGTACACAATACATTTTAAACATTAAATTTTAAAGATTCTTTAGAGAATCCTGTAATCAAATATTGATTTTCAGTTAACAGGAATGATAACAGAATTATAGTGATATTAAAATTGAAGTCAAAATACTACATGATAACTTATATGTGGAATCTAAAAAAATACAACAAACTAGTGAGTATAACAAAAAGGAAGCAGGCTCACAGATATAGAGAACTAGTGTTCACCAGTGAGGAGAGGGAAGGGGGAGGAGCAATAAATAGCAAGGGATTCAGAAATACAAAGTATTATGTATAAAATAAGCTGCAAAGATACACTACACAACACAGAGAATATAGCCAATATTTTATAATAACTAAAAATGCACTATAATGTTTAAAAATTGTGAATCACTATATTGTACACTTGTAATTTATAGAATATTATATATAAACTACACTTTGATGTAAAAAGTTGAAGTCAATACAATTCTAATCTGGCTTAACTTTATGTAAAAGCTTTCATTATCTCACTTATAAAAAATTTAATGCAGATAATTGTATTCTATCACATTTATAGATGAAGAGAAAAAACATATGTCACTGCATGTAAAAATGTGTTTGTGTAAAAATTAATAAAAATTCATGATTCTTTTTAAAAAAGAATAGTCTAATGAAGTAAAGCTTCAAATGCTCCAGACTCTTTTCTTCTCTATCAAAGTATCCAAATATTTTTCTAATATTGCACCTATGCTATTGTAATTGGAATTACTGGTTTACTGAAGAGGCATCTTACAAATCCTTATTATCCTGGTACCTAGCATGGTACCTGATGAAAGAAGGTTCTCAATAAATTCTAGCTGGTTGAAAAACAAAAAGAGCAATTAGGCATGAGCTTTGTATGCATAAGGTCTTCCCTGGTGGCTCAAAGAGTAAAGAATCTACCTGCAATGCAGAAGACTTGGGTTTGATATTGGGTCGGGAAGATTCCCTGGAGAAGGGAATGGCTAGCCACTCCAGCATTCTTGCATGGAAAACTCCATGGACAGAAGAGTATGGCAGGCTACAGTCCATGGGGTCGCAAAGAGTTGGAAACGACTG